AAATACAAAACAATTAGCTGAGCATGGAGGCACATGCCGGTAGTCCCAGCTACACGGGAGGCTATGGCACCAGGATCACTTGAACCTGGGAGGTGGAGACGGCAGTGAGCTGAGATCACACCACTGCACTCCAGCCTGGGTGACAGCAAGACTCCGTCTCAAAAAACAAGCAAAAACAAAAGCCCAGAAACTCCTTTCCTGGGAGGTCCTCCCTCTCAGACCCTAGCTATACACGGCACAGTTAGGCACAGTCTTAGAACTCCTGGGTCTTCTCCAATCTCATAAATTCTTAGCATTCCATAGACAGGCACCCTGAGAACAATGAGACAGCTTGGAAGTAAAGGGGGAGACAGAAACTGGACAGAGCTTAAAAAGCACAGTGGCCCAAGCAAGTCATGGGAGCACTAGCGTCACAAGTGATGTTACAGATGGTGCACCTGAGCTCACAAGAAGCTAGCACATAACTATTGGCTGACCATTAGCCCCGCTGGGAAAAACATGGACATCTAAAGAGCATCTACCCGCCACCCCCCCACCACCCCCATTGACTCCTAGGGTTCTGCAAACAGGAAGAAGCAAGCAATTTTCCCAGCAATTAAAGACACACCAATTACAATAAGAAAGTATCAATTTATAGCTGTAAACATCAATAAATAATGAAACCTGTTTCAAAACAAATGGCCCAGGGCTGGCAGGGCCGCAGGCACACAGCAACACTCCTATGCTGTGGTAGTAATGCTTAGCCAGTACTATCCTTAGAAAGCGAGGACATTGAGCTCCAAAAATGTCAGCCTTTGGCCTAGTCATAGCTAAATCCTGAGGACTTTGCTGAAAGAATTAAAAAGGAAAGGGGAAGATTATGGGGAGAAAGTTGTTTCATCAATAAAATTTGTAATGATTAAAAGCTAGGAAATTAAAACCATGTGTCCAACAATAGGGATGCTGTGACTATTTGTGCCCTACAAACTCACATTGAAATATAATCCCCAATGTGGCCAGATTAGGCAGTTGGGCCTTTAACAGGTGATTTGGGCAGGGTGCTGTGGCTCATGCCTGTAATCCCAGCACTTTGGAAGGACAAGGTAGGCAGATCATCTAAGGTCAGGAGTTCGAGACCAGCCTTGCCAACATGGTGAAATCTGTCTCTACTAAAAATACAAAAAAAATTAGCTGGGTGTGGGATGCAGTAGAGTTTGAGTTGGGTTGTGGCACAAGTCACAGTGGCTGTGTCCAGTCAAGCAACAAGGCCCGTGTAAGGAATGTTGCTTGACCACATTATAGCGGGTGCCTATAATCCCAGCTACTTGGAAGGCTGAGGCAGGAGAACAGCTTGATCCCAGGAGGCAGAGGTTTTAGTGAGCTAGGATTGTACCATTGTACTCCAGCCTGGATGACAGAGCGAGACTCTACCTTAAAAAAAAAAAAAGAGGTGATTGGGTTATGAGGACTCTGTTTATTAACCCATTCATGCATTAGTGGATTAACAGGTTAATGGATTAATGGGTTATCATGGGAGTGGGGCTGGGGGCTATATAAGAAGAGGAAGAGAGACCTGAGATAGCCCGCTTTGCCCCTCACCATGTGATGCACTAGGCTGCCTTGGAGGACTCTGTAGAGATTCCCCATTAGCAAGAAGGTCCTAATCAAATGTGGATCCTCAACCTTGGACCCTCAGCCTCCTTAACTGTGAGAAATAATAATAATTTTCCTTATACATTAACCAGCTTCAGATATTCTATTGTAAGCAACAGCAAATGGACTAAGACAAGGGAAATACTGGTATGCAATTTAGTGAAACATATAGTTGGTTAAAAGAGAAAAGGCAATTTTTAGAACTACATTAACTGGGGGGAAAAGTAGAGCAGGAAATTATACAAGTACAATGATTGTATAGAAATGGATAAAGATTGAGAGGAACCACAGAAAAACATAAATAGCTGTGTTTGGGTTGTAGGATTAGAAATGTAATTTCTTTTCCATTCCTGCTTAGTTTTTTTTTTTTTTCTTTTTTTTCATGATAGTCTTTTAAAGAAGTGGCTCAGCCTTTCAAGCAAGGTGCACTTGTCACTCTCTGGTGGGAATCAGCATGCTGACTTCTGACCCTCAGCTTCTCTCTGGGTCAGGCAGGGCAGGCACGCACTAGTCCAACCAGCTGGGAGGTCCGTGGGAGAAACATGGAAGACACTGGGAGCTAGCGAAGGGGAGAGCACAAGCAATTCTGTACATTAAACATTGAGATGGGTAATTTAAGAATCAAATGCAAGAGTATGCAAATGCCCATCTGCTACTTAAATCTATATCCTGCCAATACCAGAGCATAGTTCTCAAATTAGAATGATCCCAAATGTTATGTGGTCCCCCTCAGTCTGTAGGCAGGTTGAGGATGGCTGCCTGCTTTACAGATGAAATCTAAAGCTCAGGGGATTTAGGTGACTTCCCCAAGAGCACAAAATCAGGGATTCCTGAGACAGATGCTGTCACTTCCCTGCTACCAGGCAGATGCATACATGCTTATGAGGCTTAGAACATATTCTGTTTTTTTTTTTATGTTTGTTTCCCGAGACGGAGTCTTGCTCTGTCGCCCAGGCTAGAGTGCAGTGGCGTGATCTCGGCTCACTGCAGCCTCCACCACCCAGGTTCAAGCAATTCTCCTGCCTCAGCCTCCTAGTAGGTGGGATTACAGATGCCCACCACCATGCTTGGCTAATTTTTGTATTTTTAGTAGAGACGGGGTTTCACCATGTTAGCCAGGCTGGTCTCAAACTCCTGACCTTGTGATCCGCCAGCCTTGGCCTTCCAAAGTGCTGAGATTACAGATGTGAGCCACTGCACCTGGCCAGAACATTCCTCACATGGGCTTGCTGCTTGACTAGACACAGCCACTGTGACTTGTGCCACAACCTAACTCAAACTCTATTGTGTCCCAGAGCCCCACCTGCCCAGGAGGATATCATGGTGGCCAGCCAACTCCTAGACTCTTGGGGCCATCTAATCAAATTCCATCACATACTGTGAAGTCTTCCTCTGCTAAGCCAGCATAAGGCCAGCCCGCCTCATACTCATAGCTGTCTGCACAAGCCATGTGGACTCAAGTCCTGGTCCTGCCACATCCTGGCTATAGGATCTTGTAAGTGACCTGGCCTCTCAGTGTTCTTGTGTATAAAATGGGGATAATAAGAGTGTCTGTGTGACAGCATTGCCATGAGGATTAATTAAGGTACAGAAATACTTGGCTTGCACAATGAATACAGAATAACCTCTCTGCATTAGTAAGACATTTCCTTCATCATAGTCTTTAAAGATTGAACAAGATAACAGATACAAAGCACCTAGCAAATTCTTAGCTTACAATAGGGCTCTCTAAATAATAGCTATTATTATAACAATAAAAGTGTCACTCACAGCGCAAATGCAGTGGGCTTTCCCCCGGAAAGGGCCAGAGAAGAGCTTCACAGAGCCCCTCCTCATAGTACTCATCCCTCCCTGACAGCCTCCCCTGGCCTCATCCCACCCTCCATCCCCTTCACCCTCCCACATGCTTCTCCAGCCAGGAAAAGACCCCAGCGCAGTCATTTCTTCCCTTTGATCCCCAGGGTCCAGTGAAAGCCAGACTTAGGCCATCGCCCTCTGCCCCAGCTACTCAGCAAGCCTGCCCCTCCTTTGGCTCAGTTGCAGGAGGAGGATGGGGGTAACTGAAGCAGAGGGGATCTGCCCACCATTGAATTCACCTCCTCTGGGCTGAGCTTAGCCCTGGCTGCTGCTGCCCCCTGGGGCCTATGGCTGGAGCTTCCACCACCCTGCCTGCCCTTGCTGCCCCCTAACCCTGTGGGTCCTGGGGACCCCACTCACAGCTCAAGGATGAGCACCACGTCGGTGCGGTTCTCGTAGACGTCGTGCAGAGTGATGACGTTGCGGTGCAGCACCTGCCGCAGGATGCTCACCTCCCGCTCGATCTCCTCCCGGCTCACACCACGCCGGCTCGCCCGGCTCTGCCGCTTCTTGATGAACTTAGCTGCATACTCAAGACCCGTGCTCTTCTCCCGGCACTTCTTCACGATGGCGAACTGACCACTGGGGACACAGACCCACAAGACTAGGTCATCACTGTGTTCACTGGGGAAGTGACCCCACTGTCAGCTACCAGGTCACACAAATTCAGAGTGATTCTTCTAGGACAGGACAAATCATGCCTCCAGTCTGCATCCCCATCTGGATGACAACCTGTGGCTGAGATGGGACAGGTACTGGGCTTCCCTTCCGTCCATACCTTCTATGAGGAATGAATGTTAGTATTAGTCCCAGTGTGCAGAGTTGAACACTGAGCCCCAGAAAGGTTATTGATCAGGATGGCACAGCCTTGTCATTGCAAAGTCTCGGCTAGAACCCAAGTCTAGGACCCACCGGATGAAATCACAATGTCCATAAGCAGACTGGGCTGGTGGGGATCCGGGTTTGGGTGGGGTTTGGGGAGGAGGCAGCCTAACGAGGTTAATCATCATAGTGGGGGAGCATCACAGCGAGAGGACCTGGTATGAACAGAGTTGTACAATTAGGAAACTGAGGCAGAAGGATAGGCCAAGTGGCTTACCTGAAGTCATTGCAGAGTTAATGGCAAAGCCAAGCCTCAAAGTCAAATACCCAACCAGCTGTCCACAAACCCTCTCAGACAGTTACAGCAGGGCTGGACCATTATTAGTCCCCTTCAGGCACTAGCACCCAGGGCTGGGCTTGGAAACCCTTCACTGTGCTCAACCTGTGGAGGGGGGCTTCGGAGGGTATTTGCTAAATACCAAAATAACCACTGCTCGGGTAACTCAGAAAGTTTTCTGGTTCAGCTTAATGGCTGAATAAGGGAACAGCAGACTCCAGACTTATGATGTACGCTCTTAGTGGCTCTGGGGTAAAAGTTACATACAAGGAAATGCTTGGGATATTTGCCCCAACCGCAGAAAATAGCACTGCATCTGGACCATGTCATCATTATCATCATACTCAGTGAGACAGTCTTCAAGATACTCGGAGTGGCAATAACAACAACAAAGTCAAATTGAGCAAGCAACAGATAGATAGGCCCATGCTGAGATAGCATTATATGGCAGCCACTTCAGAGATGTTCCCAAACAGATTCATGCATCTCTCCCTCCCCTCAACTTCCAGTCACTCAACACTGTCTGGGCATCCACTCCGTGCCAGGATCTGTGCTGGGCACTACGCGGGAGGGACCAAAGGCACAGACAATGGGTACAGATGGAGCTCTGGGGAGGGAGAAGACCCTGGAGCCTAGACTGGGCAGAGAAGGCTTTGTGGAGCCAAATTTATATTACACTCTCCACTGACTCTAAAGTTTCAGCTATTTAGGCTCCAAATACTGGCTCTGAGCTGTCCACACATTAGGGGCTGACACAGGTGGAGTGGAGCCAGGCCTCCCAGAGCCAGAGTGAACACATTCAGTGTGATCTCTAACACATATGGTCTCTTGGAGCCACTCTGGGCCTCGGTGACAGCAGGTGCCTTGGTAGGTGCCAAATAACACTTGACCAAGCTTGCAGGCCCAGGTGGCTGTGAGTCTCAGGGTCAAGACAGACACATGCCTCTCCTCTGCCTCTGACACCTCAACGGGCTGCTGGCAGGGCCTGGCATTTCAGAGTCCCTCTGACCTTGTCACAGCAGCCCTGAGTTCCTACTTGACTGGTGGGGAATGGATGGTAAGGGATAGATTTAGGTTTACAGAGCACACGGGTGGTGGTGCAGAGCTTGGCTTGGCATCCAAATCCCCCAGCTCCCAGCCCTGCACTGTGTTGACAGCCTTAGGACTTGGGAAGGGGCAGAAGAACTTCTGTAAACTAGAGCTAAGCATTTCAGGTCCCCTTGACATTGTTTCCCCTTTGCCTTATGAGGAAAACAGAGGCATTTTTTTCTATATCACATGCCTGAAAAATTCCTCAGACTCTCAAAAAGCAAATGAGTGTTTGCTTTTCCAGCCTAAGTTTTCTCTTTTCGAGACAACTGTGGCAATGAGTGGTGACTGGGGCAGGCCCACTGCACGAGCATCTTCCCCTCCCTAAAGGGAGGAATTTGAGAGTGAGTGACTAAGATGACACCAAATACCACACAACACCACTCATCTCACCTCTCTTCACTTGGGCATGACCCTCTGCTCGACCTGTGGAGCGGGGCCTCAGAGGGAGCCAAGGCTGCTGTTTCCAGAAGAGAGGAGAACACTAGACTCAGCCCCCAGGCTTCAAGGTCAGACAGGCCTGGCCTCAGGGACTTATGCTTTCACCTGGGAACAGTCACTACCTGCTCTGAACATAGATCTTCTCATCTGTCAAATGGAAATCAAGATTCCCTGCTAGAGAATTGTGAAGACTGGAAGTATTTGTAATGTTGGCCCATGGTACTAATAAGTGGTTCATGTGAAGGCTGAGCAAGAAACACCCAGAGGTATAAGTCACTGATTCAAATGATCTGGAATGTGTAGCCAGGGAATTGGTTTAATTTTATTTATGTTTGGAAATGGGGTCTGGTTCTGTTGCCCAGGCTGGAGTGCAGTGGCATGATCATAACTCACTGCAGCCTCAACTCCTGGGCCCAAGCAATCCTCCCAACCTCAGCCTCCCAAGTAGCTGGGACCACAGGCGTGTGCCATCAACCCAGCTTCAGTTTAATTTTAAAAGCACCACCCTACCCCCTGATGATTCCCATGCACAGCCAGATGTAAAAACATCTCTGTTCCATGCAATTAGCCAACTCTTTTAATCCTAGAGCAATGGCTCTCAACCCAGGCCACACATTAGTATTGCCTGGAGAATTTTAAAACTGCTAATGTCTAAGCCTCAGCCTGAGAGATTCTGATCTCCTGGGTCTGGGCTGCAGCCTGAAGACAGGGCTATTTAAAAGCCCGTCAGGTAACTCTGACATGCAGCCAGGGCTGAAAGACACTGACTTAAAGCAGCTTTTTTATTATCTCCATTTCGCAAATGAAGAAACTACACCACTGTTACTCATACTGTTTCCTCCTTTGCAGTATTACACTTCCCTATAGTTCTTTGATGTGACCATTTCAGGAGAGTAAAGAAAGGGAATCAGAGGGGTAGGGTTGTCTCTCCCATCCGCATGATTTTTGCTTAAGGGGTTCAACAGTCTAACCGCTGTGTCACAAATTTACGAATCTGACAGCTTACTCTAGCTTTTGGAGGATAACAGGAGTGAAAATTTGCAGTTAGGCACTCCCTAGCCACTGTGCATCAGCAGATGCACAAAATCAGAACCTGACATGGCTCTAGTATGCCCATTAGAGGGCCCAGCCAACCCAAGGGCAGGTGAAGACAGTGATGGTGATGGGCCCTTGTCTGCACACAGAAGGCTCTGCAGCCAAGAAGCTGAGGCCCCGCAGTACAGAAGTCGCCAACTAGACTACAGGGATGAGGGGCGGGAGACGAGGGCCTGTCCACTTTAAGGACAGAGGCACGCAGAATGATATCCAGGGAGGGAGCAGAGGGGAGCAATTCCACCTCTAATGAAGGTCACTGCTAACCCAAAATTAAAAAGTATGGGAATACTGGAATCTGGTACACATATGCAAAGCACACATATTCCAGGATCTCTGCCTCCTACCGCCCCCTTCTCATAGCAACAATCAATACCTATGCATGGTTGACTGCAGCACAGGGCTGGTAACAAGGAGGCCCGATTCCTGGTCCTGACCTGCTATCAGAGTTTCATGGGCTTGGCAAGGAGCTGTTTTTTCAGTTCATGTTTCTCCATCTGCCACCTCAGGTCTCACCTTAGACAGCTTCCTGTCAGCTGGACACGGTGGCTCATGCCTATAATCCCAGCACTTTGGGAGGCTGAGGTGGGTGGATCATGAGGTCAGGAGTTCAAGGCTAGCCTGGCCAAGATGGTGAAACCCTGTCTCTACTAAAAATACAAAAATTAACCAAGAGTAGTGGCAGGCACCTGCAATCCCAGCTACTCGGGAGGATGAGGCAGGGAATTGCTTGAACCAGGGAGGTGGAGGTTACAGTGAGCTGAGATCACATTGCACTACAGCCTGGGCGACAGTAAGAGAATCCATCTCAAAAAAAAAAAAAAAAATTCTTCCTGTCAGAAGGCTCCAAAAAGCCTGGGATAACTCTAAACAGGAATGAAGCCCTTCCCTTCACTCTCTAAATCCCTAACTCTGGGCTGGTGTCAGGAGACTGGGAATCTAGTCAGAGCCCTACCACTCATGAGCCAGGACCCTGGGCAGCCTGTTCAACTCCCCAGGCCTCAGTTTCCTTCTTTGTCATGTGAGGATGATAACACCCGCCCTGCCCATGGCCCAGGGTTGTTTGGGAAATCATGAGGTAATGTCTGAGATAAGACTTTACCATCCAGCCTTGCAGAAGAGCATGAGGCATGGGTGAGTGGGAACTCTGTGCCTGAGGCTGGCTTACAAAAGTCATGTAGGATGGTTTCATGAGGGACAGTAAATCTGCAAGACACAGAAAGCACCCACTTCTGCCAGCACACTCTCCTGCAATTCTGTCAGAAATACACCCATCTTCCCAGGCAGAGGACTCAGCTTCTCACTCACTCAGCACCCAGGAAGACTGAGTGGGCTGTGTAGAGATCAGTGTCACTGGCAGATGGGCCTCATTCCCAAACTTGTCAGGCCCCCAGGTGGTGCCTCATAAGGGCTCTCTAGTTGTCTGCCCAGTCCTCACATGAAAAGGAGTACATCTAGAACAGCTTCTCAGTGCTCAGAAATGTCCCTATCCTCAGCTTTTAAGGTTCATGGAGGAGCCTGGCTTAATCCTCACCTCCCCAAATTCTTCACAGTCAAGGGTGAATAACCAGAGCATGACCCAAATGTCATACTATGGGATAGATTTTGTACAGCAATGTGAACATTACAACATTTACATCCAGTTTTTCTCTTAATAAGCTAATTTCATATTCATTCTCTTTTAAAATATTTGCAAGTATCATTTTTAGTTCCATTTCACAGAGAAGAAAACTGGAGAGGTATGGTGCCTCCTGCCTGTCATCCCAGGGCTTTGGGAGGCTGAGGTGGGTGGATCCCTTGA